AGTTTAGGCAGAACTGGCCCAGGCTGAGGGTTTCTTGACGGAGGTACCTGAAATGGTTACAGTATTGAAATTTGATTTTTCTCTAGAAATAAGAATATTGTCCCACAATCTTTGAGTTGCTTTACAAGAGAGCTACCAACAGAACTACCAAGAAACTTAGCTACCCTAACCAAAACTTTAAGGCTGAGATGCACCAACTTACTTTAACAGTAACTTTAATAATAACCAGTGTTTTTGAATGAATTTTGTCAGATTTTTGACGTTTGTTAAAGTCAAAGTAAGATGGTGCAAGTCAGCCTAAAACTAGGGTAGGTATCTTTAATTCTTAATTTATCAAACAAATACTTACACACAAGCAATAAGATGGCAAATAAGATATTCAGCTGCCAACTGGTCTCCAAGGAGCAATTCCGTAAGGGCCTTTAGAAGGTGCTCTCGGGCTGCATTGGCCTCCTTTAGAATGGCACCTGAAACATTTTTAACATTTTTATAACATCTTATTTACTAAAGGACTATTTTATACACTACTAGCATTCCGCCCGCGGCTTCGCCCGTTGGCATTTCGTTTGTTTTTTCCTGAATTTTCTTTGCAATAAACCTCACGGAACCAGAGACCTTTCCAACGAATGCAAAACCGTGGAAATCGGTTCGTGCGTTCTGGAGTAATAGCGTCAGGAAGGAAAACCCGACTTATTTTTATATAGTAGAAAACATTTTCATAGTGAGTGCCACAGAATAGAAGTTAACTACTGGGAAAATTAAACTGTTTTCAACTATCCTACCTTGATCAAAAGTATCTGCCACTAACGGATTGCAATGATTCAGTTTCTTCACATACACAGCGTGCAGACGTGGAACAAGGCTTGGTGGTGGGTTGTGGGTGATTGTCTCTACCGGGGACTCAATTTGAGGCTCCAGTAAGGGATCCTTTTCTTCCTGGAACTCTCCGGACAAAGCCGGGTCCACCGAGAGGAAGCCAACCACTTCTATCATATCGTTCAGCTTGAGGTTATCACTTTCGTCGTATATCTGGAATAATAGGTAGTTGTTTTAACGTTTACTCCTCACAAAATGAAATTATATTACTAGTAACAGTAATCTATGCAAATATAAATCTACTGATCCAATTTTGAAAATTTTTTTACCAATAAAAAGTCACATTATTGCATTAAAATTTAAAAGTTAGTAGAATGTAGATTGTAATGTAACCATAATATGCAAAGGAGCACAGGTCCTACATCTAGAATTCTAAAACTTATGGAAGTATGAAATCAAGTAGATAGTTTAAGTATAAAAGTTTTGTTACTCACTTTAACAATGCAAGATTGGCTGGGAACATCAGGTAAAGGGAAATTAAGTAAATGCTCTCTGGAAACCACATTGGCAGTATCGTTTGTGCTCTCACTAGTCTTCCTCTCTTTGCCGACAGCTACCTCAGAGTCCACGACTTCCATTGCATCCGGATCCTCATCTGTTTCATCGTAACTCCTTTTTAACTTAGTGCTAGCGTTCTGGCTTAGTCGCTTCGATGTGTTCGGCTGCTGTTCTAAGTGTTTTAAGTGGTTCCTATTGTCTTCTATTTTCTGCGCCCAATCGTTGAGACCCGGCATTGAAACGACAACCATTGTTTGTCGTTGGGAACTTTTTAAATTTTCTGTGTAGTTGATTTTTTCATTCTCCTATAAAATTAATTAATGATGATATTAAAATTTTAATTTACAGGAAAAAATTGTGCAGTAAATAATAGATTTTTAAGATAGAATTCAACAAATAAAAACAAAAAAAATATATAAATTCATACCAAAACATTCGAGGTGTCGCGATACTTTCCACTTTTATTCTTTATTTCATTTGTAGCTGTGTTAAAAATTTCGAACTGCTCGAAATAAAATTCTGGGTTGTGCATGTCTTGTACCATTCCGCGGAATCGAACCAGCGTCCCATCAGGAAGATTGTGCGATGCATTCGAATTTATTAGAGGTATCTGAAAAGGTTATGTAGAGGTCAACATTGTTTACAGTCAATGCGTGTATTGAGTGTAGCATCCAAGAGCATTATACTGTGCAAATTTTATTTATAACGTACCTGGTACCAAGTAGGGAGTTTTAATAGTCTCTCCTTCCATGCCTGTTCATTTGAAATCCACAAATCCGGAGTCACAGTTTCAAAATCACTTACGAGATCATGCATCTTTTGCTGAAATTTGCTGGTTGTTTAATTGAGTATTCTTAGTAATGTAAATTGTTTATTAATACCCTTTTTGTTTGTAACGTCTTAGCTTTAATTTATTTCGAGAAATGCTGTAAAAATTAATGTAAAATGCTGAAAAATCAAGTATTTTGTCACTTTGACTGACAGCGCGCGAATTTTCAGAGACAAGCAGATAGTTTTTTTTATCAAGACGTTGTTCGGCTCTGGGAACGAGTTCTTTTAAGCCACGAGCAAAATAAGAACGGAGAGGTTGTAGAAGAAAATTGTATTCTTTGATTAACATTTACCAAAGTTTAAGAAATGTTTTTAACATTTTTGTTAGATAATGAATAAAGAAAATGTACACCCAAGAGCTTTTATTGTAACTTTTACCAAGCATGAAAGACAGTTTTCGTGTGTCGTCTCCAGACTCTAGTACTCTACTTTTTTAATTTTTTTGCTCTTGGATATCTAACTTTATTGTCTATGATAAGTTTTTTTTGTCTTTGGACAAACTCTCTAGTCTGTGGTTGTTAAACTCTAACTAAACTCTATTATCTTTCCTATGTATTACTTTTCTCTATGCTATTATCTATGGTTGAGTCTATGAATGACGCTATCGTTGTGTTGTCGTGCTTTTTTGTATTTTTTTAAATATTCCGATAATTTCAATTAAAAGGAACAGCAACAGTATAGTGTCACAGTTGAATTCTTTATCAGTGTTTAGATTGAATATAAAAATAACTAGGTACTTGTTAATTGTTACATTTGCCATATCTGAAGACCGCGTACTAAAATGAGTAAGTTACATTGTTTTTCCATCATTTTACAAAAACTTAACTCCTTATTGTGTCTCATAATGCTTCCTATAAAACGCAGATTAAACACAAATGTAATCCTCATATAAATGGCATTAATTTAAAACATTATCTGTATTTTAAAATTCTAACCTCAAATTACTGTCTTTCAGCGATGGATATTAGGCCAAACCACACTATTTACATAAATAATCTCAACGAAAAAATTAAAAAAGAGGAGTTAAAGAAATCCCTCTATGCCATATTCTCGCAATTTGGCCAAATATTGGATATTGTCGCAATGAAGACATTAAAAATGCGTGGGCAGGCTTTCGTGATCTTCAAGGAAATATCCAGTGCTACTGTCGCCCTCAGAAGTATGCAAGGATTCCCTTTCTACGACAAACCAATGGTAAGAATTGTTTTATAGAAATTTTAAGAATTAAGAATTTATAATAAAAACATACATTATTTAACTGACTGACCTCTTAACTCTCTTTCACCATGATAAATGATTCACATTTATATTTACAGAGAATACAGTACTGCAAAACGGACAGTGATGTTATTGCTAAAATTAAGGGCACCTTCCAAGAGAGGCCCAAGCGACCAAAGATGCCCAAAGGTGCCGATGACAACAAGAAAAAGAAGAATAAAGATGCTGGCAGACATGCTATGCTTGGGCCTGGACAACCCAGCTTACTCAACAATGTCAATGTGGAACAACCTCCGAACCAGATTCTGTTCCTTACCAACCTGCCTGATGAAACATCTGAGATGATGTTGTCTATGTTATTCAACCAGTAAGTACAATATGTAAAAATGCGTAAAATCTACAAATCTAGTCATCTAGAACCCATATTCTTTCTAAAACAGCATAATAAGGATGTTGTAATACTGTCAACTCCATTTTAATTATTATTTAACTTATTTACTTCTTTATTTAAAACTTTACCTCTTCTTTTACAGATTCCCCGGCTTCAAAGAAGTCCGACTTGTACCAAACAGGCACGATATTGCCTTCGTGGAGTTTGCAAATGAAATGCAGTCAGCAGCCGCAAAGGAAGCCCTACAAGGCTTCAAGATAACTCCAACCCACGCGATGAAGATTACTTTTGCAAAGAAATAGTTTTATTTAGTTTTACAGAGTTGTAATATTATTTTTAAGTTGATTACCAATAAAGTCTGATTTATTGAGAACTGGTTTGAGCATTGCACTGGGCTTGAACAGCTCTCTGGCTGTGATATTAGTCATTTAAGCACGAGAGATGTTTGTTTTCCCTATATTTTCCCATTCCAAAACAGGAAATCAGCAGTAAAAATGCTAGGTATATAAGCAATGTTTCTTTAAGCTGTAAGAATATTATTTTTGAGGCAGTAAAATTGCAACCCCACTAGAGGGCATTATTTTTTGGGTTTCCCTCCCTAATCACATTATCATAATACTTTTACTTAGCTTTGTGGTTAGGTTAATCCTCAATTTTTAAAAAGATAAAGTATTAATCTAGTAGAGGTAGTAGGCTTTACATCTATGTATTTACTAGTTTACGTAAATGGATCTAGTCAATCTTGGTGATTTATGGAACTACTAAAGCCTGGTCTGTGAGCACGTAGAATTTTGTCCAAGGACCCCAAGCTACCCATCCTTATCGCTCGCGCGTAATTATATTGCTGTCGCGTCGGGCGTCCGCAGTGAGTGTGCGAGCGCGACAGCAACATAATTACGCGTGAGCAATAAGGATGGGTAGCCTGGGGTCATTAGACAAAATTCTACGTGCTCGCAGACCAGACTATAGCTTTTGCCGGCGGCTTCACCCGCGTATAATTTTCATCAAAATCCGTTCAGTAGTTATTGCGTGAAAAAGTAACAAACATGTTATCATCCGGACATCTAAACATCCATACAAACTTTCGCATTTATAATATTAGTAGGATTAACCCCTCAAGGTATGTAAAGGTTCCCCACGAGGATTACCGTTGTATCTAAGGTTACTAAGAAATTAAACAACTATAATGTTATAATGGTTGTTTATTATAAAAAATGTTAGTACATTACACAACTTTATGAAAGTTGTAAGTTTGTAACTTCAAAAATATATTTATAAATCTACATTTGTTTATTATAAGGCATACATATTGTTAATCTTGTTATTCAAACATCATAAGGCACATCTATTTTCAAGCACATTTCATCCAATATAAATAATAAATAAATATTTCTTGCAAAACATTTCCGTTGGCCAGCTGGTATATGATTTTACCAGAAGTATAGAGATTTAACTGTTTGGTTGGAATGAAGTTATTATTAAAATCTGAGTATTTCTTCTTTGGTGGAACAAACTTTCGTACAAAACCGTACCGTAAAATGGTGTAAATCCAAAAAAGTGTACATGTTTAGGTGGGCAAGTATATTTTCAAAAGCTAAAATGTCACTTGTTTCATCACTTATCGTAAACTATTAATAAAAGCACCAATACAATATTTCATTAGTCAATAGTCTGCATTTTTGCCTACTCATAGAAAAAACACAACCAAAATATTAAACAACAAATAAAATACTGTCAATTTTGTCACAATTTACACTACCATACAATATTTATAAAAATTAAATATCTGGAAAAGCGGATAAGTACATAAATTATACATTTTCGCCACAATCTTTATTACTTCATTGAATGCAATAAATAAATAATTTGCGCAATGGCACTGAAAATCACATACTTATTTTTCTTGTACTTGTGTCAAAAAACAAAAAAATTGTGTTAATCAATCTATTTTTAGCACATTTCTAATACAAATGCAATAATTATCTATAATATTTAAACTCTCTTGTATCGTGGCACATCATTATTACACAGTTTTAGTTGGTTATTGATATCATTTCACAGATACACAAAATTTAATTGTGAAATGTTAAAAAATATATCTACAAGATTATTTCTACAGGTTTTTTACTTAAGATTGAGGAATTCCTGAATAAAATAAAATTGGCAGTTTTTAAGTTTTCACACAACACTGTATAAAAAGAAACGATTCTCTGAATAAGGATTTATGAATTCAATGAGCTAAGTGCCAAAAACATAATTCTCATGATGCAGTATTGTTAAAAGATGTTTTGGCTCATAACACAATACATTTGTCTCAGGCTAGGCTTTATAATTTTAAATAACTTCTTGTATCTTCATCATATTTCAGACTCCAAATCTAAAACAAAATTTTCTTAAGTATTTTAATGTCACATAAATGGTTTATTATTATTTTAAATTTTAAGCAGCTTATTTGCCATAATACTTTAATCATTAAAATAATATCCTCCAGTGCGCTTACCATGAGTTTACGTTAGGTGTGCTCGCTAGTGACTGCGTAAAAAATGACATTAAATGCATGGCATATTGTGCAGCGCCCCTAGCGGCTACTCATGAAATAAAATCTCGATAGATTTTTTTGACGTACTCGCTAGCGAGCTCACCTAACGTAAACTCGGTAAGCACACAGTAGTAGACATCGAAAAAAATCAAAATCATCGTTGTTACGTTTGTAATTTCGAAGCAAGGCCCCATAGTTCTTCAAAATAAATTACAAAAAGTTTCCATACCGTGTGATCAGCGCTTCATCTTCTCCAGTATAGGCAGCAGCATCTCGAAGGACGGCCGCTTGCCGGGATCCTCGTGCATGCAGATGCGGATCAGCTTGGCCACGTGGGCGCTGACGCCCGCCGGTATCGACACGCGGAGCCCTTCCAGGGCTATCTTCATGCCGCACTCCATGGGAGATAGGTCGGCGAAGGGGATCTGAAAAAAAAGAGGAGATAAACAAATTATTTTAAAATAAATTAAATATTACTTAAATTAAAATTGTTTATAACCTGCCTTTAGAGTAGGCGCACACCGTTGATTTTTAGTTGGCCGATAGTTGTGCCCGATTTCAAATTGTATGAAGAATCGGCCAAATCGAATCGGCGTAGTGTGCGCACTCCCATACATGCCCATACTGATCTAAACTATCGGCCGACGAAAAATCAACGGTGTGCGCCTACTCTTAGTCTTTGGAAACTAGACTATTTTCCATCCACAAAAAGGAAGCTTTTGGCTTGCATCTCACCTATTCTTATTCCTGGACGAACAATCAGCAGTTATACATTTGCCTCTGGTAAAATGAGAAGGGTGTTTTTCTGTATTGAATTTGAAGACTAAGTGCTTGGTCAAATGGCCAGCCGGTCTATCGCGATGCGCGTCGTAAAAATCTTATCTATTAGATGTCAGATTATCGCGTAAAATCTATAAAATGTCTCAATAAACGTTTATCATGGCGCGCATCGTAGCTACAAATGTGGGCGCGGCGCGTTGTACTCGATCATATGAAATCTTTTTCGAGCGGGTATGGCCGCTCACACACGTTTCATATGTTTGACGCAAAGCACCGCGCCTGTGTACACTGTGCAGCTTGGCCAAGCACTAAAAGATCTGATGATGATGACAGCTGTATAGCCTACCTCCCTAGTAGCCAGCTCCCACAGAAGCACAGCGAAGCTCCACATATCGGCCGCTTCGGTATTGCGCTTGTGCGGCGGTTTCTGTAACGCCTCGGGCGCCATCCACGCGGGCGAGTGCACGCGGCCGCGTTCTTGGAACGAGAACTTCGCGTCCGCCATGTTGATGCGGGCGGTCAGGTCCTCGTCGATCTGTGGAGTAAAATTGGTTATCGTTATCAGTAAAGAATTAAAGAAGAGAGAAGCAAGTATCTAAAAATAGTATGAGCAGCGCCATTCTGTAGCGTGAGACGGGTTTCCACACAGGCAAGCCTGCGTCGGACGGCCGCAGCGGGCCAGCGAAGGTTTTAGCGTAACGTAGCTAGACTTTAATTTGTGAAAAAAAAAAACAGTAGCTACGAAAGAATAATTAAGTGTTGCTTAAAATATTTTAGCTATGAGAAACTCGACGTTTAAAACAAAAAAAAAGATTCTATAATTGAAAAAAAAAACAACGCTTATAAGAGGTAGCTGAGCTGACTTTCCACACCGACACTCTAATTTCTACTTACAAAGAGACACTTTCCTTACCACAAGACCCTCATTTTATCACTCTATACTCGTCTCTGCACTTGATTCACTCAAACCGATGTACTCGCTTTTCCCCTCCATTCACTTCAAAAGACTCGAGTTGGGGGAGGTCTTTGTCTAGTACTGGGCGTCATTCAGCGGAAACGAACAAAACTTCTCTAACCATAACATGCAAGACTCGTCTCTCTAAAGACGCGTCTCACTTTCCCAAAACACTTTCCACGAGACACTAGACTAATCACAGCGATGGTCTAATTACAATAAGACCCCAAAAGACTCAACTCACTCCAAAAGACTCAAGACACTGAAAACACTTGTATCTCACTCCAAAACTCGTCTCGCTTCAAAAGACTCAAGACTAAAACACTCAAACATCTCCCTGTTCTCCCTGCCCTCCGCCACTCACCATAACGTGCTTGCTGTCGAGCTGGTAGACGGCGGCGGCGGGGTCGCGCGGCAGGCTGTGCAGGTACGCCATGCCCGCCGCCACGTCGGCCGCCAGCCGCAGCGCCGCGCCCGCGTCCACCACCACGCGCCCGCCCGCGCCGCCGTGCAGCAGCGAGTGCAGCGAGCCCCGCGACATGTGCTGGGAGACACGAGGGACGCGGGCACGAGCCGGCTGCGGACACTAGGGCGACTGCTGGGCCCGGCCCACGAGGCGGACTACACGCACCGCTGGCGGCCGACTACCTCCAAGACTCTAGACTGAGAGAAGGCAGTCGAAGAACTAGTGACACTCGAATCAGCGCAGCGATACTACTGAGCCCAATCAACTCAGCGGGAGACACTAGACTACCGCAGAGGCGGGTCAGGCGGGCGACAACCTCCAAGACACTAGACTGAGAGAGAAGGCAGTCGAAGAGACACTAGAATCAGCGCAGCGACACCTTACTGATCCCAAGCGACTCAGCATGAGACACTAGACCCATCATAAGTCCTTAGACACTAAGACTCATGACAGCGACGCGTCTAGTTACAATAAGACTCCAAAAGACTCAACTCACTCCAAAAGATTCGTCTCAACCCAAAACACTCAACGAGACTCACTCTAAAGACTCGTCTCTCTAAAGACGCGTCTCACTCCAAAGGACTCAAATTACACTAAAACACTCGTCTCACTCTAAAGACGCGTCTCACCCCTAAAGACTCGAGTCACTCCCAGAAGACTCAACTCACTTCATAAGACTCGTCTCATCTGAAAAGACTCAAGACACTAAAAACACTTTTATCTCACTCCAAAACTCTCGTCTCGCTTCAAAAGACACAAGACTAAAACACTCAACATCTCCCTGTTCTCCCTGCCCTCCGCCACTCACCATAACGTGCTTGCTGTCGAGCTGGTAGACGGCGGCGGCGGGGTCGCGCGGCAGGCTGTGCAGGTACGCCATGCCCGCCGCCACGTCGGCCGCCAGCCGCAGCGCCGCGCCCGCGTCCACCACCACGCGCCCGCCCGCGCCGCCGTGCAGCAGCGAGTGCAGCGAGCCCCGCGACATGTGCTGGGAGACACGAGGGACGCGGGCACGAGCCGGCTGCGGACACTAGGGCGACTGCTGGGCCCGGCCCACGAGGCGGACTACACGCGCCGCTGGCGGCCGACTACCGCACAGACACTACACTGAGAGAAGGCAGTCGAAGAACTAGAGACACTAGAAACAGCGCAGCGACACTACTGAGCCCAATCAACTCAGCGGGAGACTCTAGACGCACCGCTGGCGGGCGATAACCACCAAGACATTAGACTGAGAGAAGGCAGTCCAAGAACTAGAGACACTAGAATCAGCACGGAGACACTACTGATCCAAATACACTTGCCACAAGACACTTAAGACACCACAGCGGTAGTCGATCAACCTTAGACACTAGACTCATCACAGCGACGCGTCTAATTATAATAAGACCTCAAAAGACTCAAGTCACTCCAAAAGATTCGTCTCAACCCAAAACACTCAATAAGACTCACTTTAAAGACGCGTCTCACTCCAAATGACTCAAATTACACCAAAACACTCGTCTCACTCTAAAGACGCGTCTCACCTCAAAAGACTCAAGACACTGAAAACACTTGTATCTCACTCCAAAACTCTCGTCTCGCTTCAAAACACTCAAATACCTCCCTGTTCTCCCTGCCCTCCGCCACTCACCATAACGTGCTTGCTGTCGAGCTGGTAGACGGCGGCGGCGGGGTCGCGCGGCAGGCTGTGCAGGTACGCCATGCCCGCCGCCACGTCGGCCGCCAGCCGCAGCGCCGCGCCCGCGTCCACCACCACGCGCCCGCCCGCGCCGCCGTGCAATAAAGAATGGAGCGAGCCCCACGACATGTATTGCGAGATGACTATGAGCGATGGCGGCGATACGCAACAGCCCACCTGTTGACCAAAGGAAGAAGATTAGTCAGTAGTCAGAGACACTTTTTTTATTTCCTCTTGCAGGAAAAGGCAAAGGCATACGTTATACAGCCAAGTCTTCAATTTTTAAGAAGATATTTATAGGTAGGTATGTTACGCAACAACCCACCTGTATACCAAGGTAGAGGAAGATTAGTCATAGACAATTTTTTTTGTTTCTTCTAGCAGAAATAGGCAAGTATACGCCATACAGCCAAGTATACTAGCCAAATTTTTAACCATCAGGATGAGGAACGGTGGCTCACCTGTTTGAACAACATTATCCAGACTTTTTTTGGTTCATTTCTTTCCTTATGTAGGCAAAGGGCATACAGCATACAGGCAAGTCTTGCTTGCAGGATGAGGGAAGGTCACTAACCAGCATTTTACCCACCTGTGTACCAAGTGATAGCAACTTTTTTTTGGTTCTATTCTTCTATTTTTCGTCATACAGCCAAGTCTTCAATTTTTAACAAGAAAGTGACAGGTTTGTTACGCAGCAACCCACCTGCCCCCCTAGACAAAACGCACTTTCTGATCGAATCGAAAATCGAATCTGTCAAAACTCCATACAAAAAAGGGGCTTTTCGACCACTTTTCGACTGGTTTGCGATTATAATTTGCACTTTGTCTAGACCCACTGTACCAAGTTGCAGCAACATTTTTTTTTATTTGATTCTTCTGTTGCAGGCAAAGGCAAACCATACAGCCAAGGCTTTGCCTTCGACAAAAAAAAAACACTCACAATTGACTTCAGATTAAAAAATATTATCATACCACAGGCAAGATGTTGGGATGCGAGAAGATCCTAAGCTTGGGGAATTCCTCATTGAAGTCTCGCTGTATCCTCGGCGTGCATTCACGCACAGCTATGAACTTAGCCACGATGTCGTTCTTCTGCCACCGACCGCGCCATGTTTCCCCTGTAAAAAACATAATAAAGGATTCTTAGTAAGGACTTGTAGAATCTTCGTCTTCTTTTTTACACGGTAGAATGACCACAACGGTCGTCACTTTTGGTTTGGCGACAAGATTTACAATCCGTCGCCATTCCTTCCGTATTGCAGCCTTTCTTGTATACCGACAGTGGCGGCGTAAGGCGTAGGCGACGTGGGCCACCGCCTACGGCCTCGCGGAACAAGGGGCCTCGCGCATCAAAAATTTTGAAAAAATGTATACAAGGTGGAGATGACAATATCACAATACGACAATAAATGCAAACATTGACTATTAAATATAAATTTTTGATAGCTAAACAATGTAGTTAAAAAAATATAATTTTTTCCAAACAAATTCAGCCATAATCAGACACAAAATTAAGCAACAACACGGTTTTAAGTGACGAACATTATTCTTTGTGCGCAATATTCCTTTAAAAATAATCACTGAATCAAGAAATCAGAAACTGTCAATGAATAGACCGTTGACCCGTTTTTTTTTTTTTTTTTATTATTTATAAAATCCGTCTTCAGGTCGCCACAGAACAAGGCCTCGCGAAATCTGTCTTGCCCACATCAAATTTAGGTCTTGCCCCGCCACTGTATACCGACTAGTGGAGTGGAACATTGAGTGCGGTTTTGATCTGATCAGTCGATCTCTTGTGCCTTCAACCTTCCTCTGCACGACAAGTCGTTCAACAGATGTGTCGTCTCCACATGTGATATGACCAAAGAAACTTGTAGAACAAAAGTTTCCATACTCCAATCCAATGCTCATACAAGACAGATAATGGACGCCTAGCCTTATAATTATTGTTTAAACCCCTTGTGGTAAGTTAAATAAGCTTGTTTGTCAATAAGTCGAGCGGCGGCGGGGATCGAAACCAAGTTCCTCGGATCACTAGTCGGGCCAGTCCGACATCTTATATGGTGGGTACATTGATGAAGAAAATACGTTACCTGAAGGAGTGGAAGCGATCCGTGTGTGCAGGGCCAGCTCGTTGATATTGATGCCCTTGTGGCGGGACAGAGTTGCGTCGCGGCTTCGAGTCTTCAGCCCGAGCCATGACTGGTCCTTGAATTGGATCTTCTTCATGTCCTGCCCTTGCTGGATGGCTAAATCGTGCAATCTGCAAAGGAATATTTATTTTAGTTTGTCACAGATCGTCATAAATTCTACCCTATATGTTATTCTGGGTTATAAACAATAATACTGTAAAGTTTCATTAAAATCCATTCAATAGATTTTCCGTGAAAGAGTAACAAACATCCAGACATACAGACATCCACACAAACTTTTGCATTTATAATATTATAGTAAGATAATTAGTACATAGAGGTTTTTATCAATTGCACAATTTTTTTCTTTTTGAAGCTGCATTTATGCTATGCTTTTAGGGAAAAACTTTGATTCAATAGTTAAAACAAGTCATATTTGATGTACACACTTTTTATGTGTATATCAAGCAATTAATCAGAAGACACCATAATGTTTTGTTGCTCAGTTTACACATAATGATTAAGTTTTTCCCTCAATTTTATTGGATGAAATCTACCATTAATTTATATTCAAGTGTTTTCAGCAGGATGGAAGCTTACATATTGCAACTTTTCGCAGCAATACAAACGCGCTTTTTTCAGTGGCGTGACTGTTTTGTGATTTTATCGGTGTTTTTAGTATCGCGTGTTCGTAAAGGTCGATCTTTTGCGAATGTATCGATACTACATACATCGCGACTGTATACTGCTGCAAAAATAAGCAATGTAAAAGGGCCCTTTATCTATTTAACCTACCTCTGAACAAGCTGCCCCCTAGTCTTGTCAAGGGGAGTGTCCCCATACTGGTTGGCCATAGACACCAGCGCCCCGGCCATAACCAAGTCCTCAGCGATGGCAGTGTAGCCCCAGAAGCAAGCGTAGTGGAGCGGAGAATTGCCGTGCTCATTCGTGAAGTTCACGTCAACTCTGTTTTGTAGGAGCTGTAACAAGTATATCAATGACTCAAAATTATCTAGCGAGGTCAAAATAAAGAATAATAAAAAAAAAAACTGTGAATCAGTGTAAATCATCCATCAGTACAGGAAAATATAAGTAGAGATACACATGCTCATAAAATGTCAAGCTTATTAGAGTGTATAAAACAAGCATGCTTGAATAATCTGTAATGAGAATGCATTAATTTTTATCAATTGTTTTGACACATGCTACTAAGTAGCAATCGCTCAATAGTAGCATGCTTTCATGCTTATAATTACCATGTGTATCTGTACCTTTACAAAAAAGTTCTTGACTTGAAAATAATAAATCTTATTAGAAAATAAACGAATATGCACACTACCATTTGGACAATAGGTCTGTGTCCATGAGCCGCTGCCAGATGCAGCGGCGTGTCATCCCCCATATTGGTGACGTTGATCCGAGCTCCTCTGCGCATAAGCATCTCCACGATCTTGATGTGGCCCTCCTTGCACGCCCAGTGTAAGGGACTGAAGCCATGGTCGTCTCTGCAAATTGAAATTTATTGATATCCATCATTTTATTGATGAAATTATTATCATTAAATTTATAAATTTTCAACTTTAAACTTAAATACAATTTCAAATTATTTTACTCTACTTCATAAGTAATAATAAACAAGGTGAGTAAGATAAATTAAGGATAATGTAATCACAGTATGAGGAAAAACTACTCATGGTTTCCAAAAAACCAGAAGTGTTAAATCTGTTTTCATGAAATATTTTCCAATATTATTCGGGTACATCCCGATAAATGATTACCAATCAAACAAGTATTCCGTTATTTACATAGGCGACTTAATGAGAACACTGATCTCATTATGGGAAGGCCTTGATAGCGACTACTTCTTCTGACACATACCTATTAAAAAGGCCATGAAATCATCGTGGGCGTGAACTACGGACAACTTTACAGAATAACCAGGTTAACATCTGGAAACAAAATATACTACAAAAGTAGAATACATCCTCCTCTTACCCCTGATTCATGTCATGTTCGGTATCATCCAGCCAAACTCGAACTTGCAAGGCATTTCCTTCTCTACACCACTGAAATATATCTTCCATGTTTTTCTTAGAAATTACACGTACACACTAATATTGAGGACAACCTTATAATATTCTGATAAGCAAGCACAAACGCACCACGCTTTTATTCTATTAGAATAGTTAAAATTCACTTATTAAAATAGAAAACAAATAAATAGTGCAAAGTTGATTCCACGGGGTGGAAACGCCATAGAGTTTGACAGCTCCATAGAGAGTGAATTTTTTTGACAGTTCCGAGAGGAAGTGACTTTTTTTATAGTTGTCCTTTGTCTTTTGCGTGTCTGGAATCAAGTTAGTAAACATTTTCGAATTATAGCCTGACCAGGAACATAAAAACCCTCGCCATGTTGCGGAAAACTAATGGTACTAATTTCTTTTAATGGCAACAGTAACTGAAAACTTCATTGACATGTCACCTTGCATGTCAGTCTATTGCTGTCAAAGTGTAAACAAACTTTATTTTAAATGTGCGCAATTGATTTTGTGAATTAAATTGCGCTTTTCGACTAGGATCAAATAAAAGTTAATTATTTAATTACAGATTGGTGGAATCCAGATTCTGTGAATGTACATGTAATTGATTGACAAGTACACATTTGACAAGGTAAATTAATTTTATTTAACAAAGTAGTGCAAATCTAGAAACAAAACAGACAGTAAGTAGGTATGGTAGTTAAGACAGATCACTTGTTCATCTGCTGTTCTCTTTATAATATTAGTGTAGAATGTAGATGATGTAGGAGATTACAGTCTTACGGTGACATGTGCATCTTTTTGCTCTAAATTTACAAATATTTCATATATTTTACAGGTGGTGAGAAACGTGTAGATCTGGCCTGCTTACAGTGGCTATTGGATTGGACAGAACCAAAGTGAGAGTGAACGTGTGAATTTATGGAGAACATTAAAAACTATTTTACTATAAGTCATAACGCAACTTATTTTGTATGAGTTACATACAAATGTCAAGCCGTGAGTACATTATGTAAAAACTAAAACAATGTACTGTAATCACAACAGTAACTGTAATCTTTTAAAATCCAATAGTTTTAATGCTTATTGATTTTCGTAAATAAAATATTTCATGTTATATTTCATCAATAAAGTTTCATTTGATACTTCAATAGCTTTATTTTTAACCGCAATACATGAAATGGAACGGATCATAAAAAAGTATGACAGGTATATTTAATCTGTGGGCGGCAGACGCCATATTGTATTCAGCGCCACCTACTGGACAATCTAGCTCGGTACCAGTTTGTTTATCGTTTAACCAATACTAGGGTCGTTTCCTATCTGTCTTTAGACATACTCTCTAATCTGTGGTTGATTCATCCATCAATGCACCAATTTTGACAGTTTCGCAATCACCCAAAAATAAATATTAACCATAAAATAACACAGCTTATCACTACCTTGTTGCTGTTTCAGTCTTTCACGTTGGATTACATATGATAGTGTTTCACTCGTCAAGTTTTTGTTTCACTACGTAATTTGGTAGTGTTATATAAGAGTTGCCATAAGTAATAAATATGGATCCCTATTATTTTAAAGGAAATGCTTGATTGGGTAGAAATTAATTCCTTTGTCTCCACATTAATGGATTTGGTATCGCAAATAAAATTGAGGTGAATAAGTACAGATACAAATCTTTGCTTATGTGATGGTATCAACTCGATCAATTCACAGATGTATCAGATTACAATTAATTAGAATCCTAGTTTACCCTACTTATTAGATATTTTTTTAAATGTGGTAACAAATGCAAAATCCATAGACAAGCTTTTTTTATTTTATTTCATAACATTCATTCACTCACACATTCTCACCCACAGATATGGATTAGAGTAGATACAGCAAGTTGCTAGTCAAAGCGTGCCATTCCGATATGTCCAAATGGACATACATGGTCGAGTGATGTTCATGTAATCCGATTACAACAATCGGATACGATGATTTTACGAGGACAGTAGTACGAACACGGTAGAGAGAAGAAATTATTACGGATTGAGAATTGTAATTAACAGCAACGAGTAACAAATATGGGTATTTCGCCAAAAATGGTCAATTTTGCCTAATTTCCTTGGTACGAAATATATTTTTGTTTTTAACTATTTTTAGTTTCCCATTGTATTAAGTAACAAAAACTAAGCTAATATATCTAAAAGGGGTGTCATAATTCGTTTTAGAAACAAAGTTATAAGGTCATTAATTTTTAGTAGCCAAGGAAATTATTATAAATATTTTTTTCTCTAAGTTTTCTTCTGTGGTTTGCTTTTTTTTTGTTCGACCCATTTTTGTGTACCTTCGCAAGCAAACATACCAATGAATATTGTATCATTACGACCTTTTTACACAACTAAGGAAGATAAATTCAGTAGATTGAGTTAAGAGTTAAAAACAAGTTGTTCTATATCTATTCTGATACCAATTTCTTAAAATGTAAATTTTAAACTTATACCAATAAAGAAATACTCAAAATTTGACTTTACGCCGAATTAAAAATGGTCTTTTATAATTTCCTAGGCCTTTTTATGCCACGGAAAACAAGGAAATTAGGGCCAAAGAAATTAGATTTATGCCTAAAAGACACCACAGACAAAAACCTATTTACCCTATGCATTTACTATTTAAATCATGGGTTTACCCCTACAGACACTACATCTGTGTAAATAAACAATAAAATTAATCCATTGTTTAGCTGCAAAAAACCGTCCAAAGAAATTGACTTTTTAGTAAACAAAAACCCAAGGAGGGACCTACTTGTGCGATTTGTCGCGAAACTGTTCAACGAAGTACTGTCCTGCCTCGATGGCCTCTTGGGACGAAATGGCCGAGTGTAACGGTGCAGTGCATTACATTCTAAGTTCTTTCGTTTCGTTACTACAATGGTCGAAAAGAAGACCCAGGGAAATTATACTTTTGACTCGGACAAGAACTTAACTTCACTTTAATTCCTTCTTTTAAGTATTTGTCATTTAAACTTTTTATTTTCCGATAGCCAAACGTTTCTCAAATATAAAGAGAGTGCTATTAGAATGAAATTACGCTTCAATTTGTTATAATGTGCCTTCATTTTGGCAAACAACAGTAATGGACATAACAAGGAAATTAGAAAAACGACTTTTGATTAAGTTTTTCTACGGTATTATTTGTAGTTTCTGCCATTGTAATAGCAAAAACAAATAAAACTTTTGATTAACTTTCCCATAAAAATAGTTTTATACATATAAATATAAAAAAATATGTGTTCGCCTGCCTGGACACAGAAAATTTACTGTTTCGGCGAAATACCAATATGTAATTAATTAGAATAAAGTAGCAGTAGAAGAATTATAAAACAAGTTAGATCAGTGATCGCGGAAGACAGAGTGCACTGTATAACGTCGAAATATACAAATCAAGAAATTAGGTCAGTGATCGCAGTATACACTATTACTAGTCTATGTATACGACGCCCGAGATTTTGTCGTTTAGAAATATCTTCAAAACTAGGTACCTGACTTAGCTTTATGAAAGAAAACGTATTGGCAAAACTACGCATTATTACATTTATTAAAAATTAAAAGCTTGAGTAAAATAGTCTTTATTTTATGAAACTAGGTCATTTACTTACTAGGATATTTAAAAGTATGGAATTAAGTATGAATTACTAGTAGTACTATTAACATAATGGAATAACGATCATTACTTTCATAAACATTAGGCACAACAAAAATATTATTTGCAAATTAATAATGTAGAGTTGTAGAATAACGTCTACCGCTACAAAATTATTTTAATCCACAGTCAGACTAGCTATAAATTTAACAAAATATCAGTTTTATCGGAATTAATTAATTTTTGAATCGAGTCACACGATATCATTCGTTGACTTTGCGAATGCAGTACGATGATACGATTACTTTTACGTTGCGGCAATCACTAAAATTCGCTAAAATGACACTTATGACGTTTAAAAAGTGGCACGCTCGGCTTCATACAATTTTTGACACATGCTGCATCTATCCATATCTGTGTTCTCACCATTTGACATTTTCATTCAATGTCAGCCACAGATATGGATTAGAGATGTCAGCTGTTGTTGTCACTGTCAGCTAAAAAAATAAATAAATTGATGCAGATTCGCATTTTAATTGAATTAAACCATTAAGTAAATGGTTCTTTGAGCTTAGTAAATAAGAAAATGGAACCTAGCAAGGTTCCTGACGTCGGCGTATTACCGAGTATCGTGGATGTCGAATGGAAACTGGAAGTGGTGACAAACACGCCTGGTGTTGGTTCCGATAATTTATTGTACACAGTGATACTAAAAACGAACTCTGGAGACGATGTGAGGTTCACTTGTGGCAGCCAGCAGCTGCAGGACTTGGTCTACAAATTGAAAGACTTGGTTCGACATTGTGAGAAAATGAAAAGTGAACTCTTATAATGGTCTGTGTATTTCTATATATTTTGTAATTTAGAGTCATAAGTTTGTTGTAAACCTGTTTATATGATGTAATAAATTTATTTTAATGTATTCAATTAATTTTGTCAATATACCTGCTACCCTTGTATAATTCTTACAAGAAGTCGGATTAGGGGAATGAGAACTGAATGCTCCATATTCAAAATAACTTTATTCAATATACCATCATAAAGTCGATAATACAGTGAGAACACAAGTTGGAAACAATTCCTTTCCACAAACAAACTCATCACAGATAACTAAATTTGACTCGAAAGAGTTAAGCTGCATTTGACATTTTTGCCCAGGGTCATAAGAGGTCAAGTTGTAAGTACCTAACTTCATTCACTATCACCAAAATTTCTGTTCTTTTTATCCAGTAATTTCGGGATTCTAACAAAGTAACCCATTTTAAAAAGCGAGATCACACAAACAAATCTTTTAGGTCTTGCCTCTAGTAATGGCCCCTGGGACATCTTGGTTAGTATTCTGGTCTATCAAACGCTTATAATAATAAATTTATCTTAAAATATCACAATATCAACAACTACACTACATGATACAGTGAAAGTTTTGATTTGAGTCTAAATTCAAATGTTAGCAAGGTTGAAGATTATTCTATGAAGTCATGAATGGTATTTTAGAATATTGCAGTTATATGATATGAATCACATTAAAATGTTTTTTTTTTTATAATCATTATTCAATTCAGTCTTGCTAACATTTGCTTGACCAATAATGATGAATTTATTTATCAGACTTATAGCATATCATTTATAGACAACATTGCAAGTAAACAAATATCAATAATCTCTATTTTCAGCTTATTTCGTAGGAAAGAACAAACCCTATTTATACTGCAGAAGACTCATACAAATACTGTTACTTATTCAGAACCTTTTAGTTCTAATTACTTGAACTTTAGCTCAGCCACAGAAAAATTACATTTTGTTTCAGTTTTATGTCTTCAAAACCAAAGTTACTCTCCTAGTTTAAAGTGCAATCTAAGATTACATGGTATATGTACCAGTTTATAAAGGCCACTCATAAAAATAAATTGTTGAATTTGTAGTTAAAAATTAGACAACCTGTCTACAGGTTACAGGAAAACAAACACTAATATGAACGAAAAATCTACATCCTACTTTATATTAAATTCCCACTCTAATAATCCAATTGTGTGTGCGTCTGATTAGCCTAAGCAAAGTCGTATTCACATTTATGATAATATTATCACTATAGTGGTCATCATATAGACCACCAAACTACTGTGACGGATAGTCAGAAAACTCGTTTATAATACTTTAGTCTTTAGGCCCAAAGTATGGTATTGAACCAATAAGTACTTCTAATAGAAGTCTAGTTACTGGGAAATTCATTTTAAAATACATAACTACTTACTAGTCTTTTATACATTCAATAACTCTTCAATAGCAGATCAAAAACGCATGATAGAACTTTCACAAACTGAAATATTTCAAGAAATAAGCTTCTATATCTATTGATCATTACAATGCATTTTATTTTAAGTTTTGTATTAAAATAATGCTTCTTTTAGCTTACCATCTTAAGTCTTATACTATGTTTTATATTAATTCAGACACAAAACAAATGAATATTTTAACAACATTGTTGTTTAAAAAAACAGTTTTAAATGCAGACAAAACAATTAAAATTGATGCAGTTTGCAGTGCAGTTGCTAAAATTCGTAGGTTAAGCTAATCTAAAGGAACCAAATTACATGCCAAAATAATAATAAAACAAATTTTCCTATACAATAAAAAAACAATAAAATTAATCTCTGTACTTTTGATTGTTTCTAAGCATTGTTTACAAAGTATAATTTTTAGTGTTTTAGTACAGAGTGTAAAGCCCATTTAAGTATAGGTAGAATAAATATTAAAGAATAAATAAATAGCCAACAATATTATTGAGGAGCGGATATCACGCCATAGGTACAAACACAACTTGCTTACTCCCTTACTCCATACATTTTGGAAATATCACAATCTAGGTTTTTTAAAGCATATTTTTATGTTTTTAAGCATTAGTGAGTGAAAACAAAAATGAGTGAATAAAACAAACAAGATTACATAACTTAAGTAAATTCTTAAACTAAATTAAAATTAGAGAAGCCGTTAACAGATTATTTGGTAGCAGAATAGATTCTCTTCATTAAAATGATTACACTGGTAAACCACTTATGTTAGGTACCTACCTACTGTGTATCATACAGTATCATTAGTCCCAAATTAATAATAATAAGTTCTCAGAGAAATTCTAATAGACTTTTTATTTCATCAGAATTCACTCTCAGACAATAACAAGCACTTGTATAGTGTAATAAATGGAACATTTTGTCAGTGTTTACAGTATGCGAGCAGTTTAGGGTTTTTGATAGAATTTGGAACTCCTAAGTCTAGTTCCACAAGGTTCATTTTAGCACAACCAGTGACGCGGGTAATGGCCCCATGAACTAGCGCCACAGCGTAAAAAGGCTTCATAGTAGTTTCAGACCTTTGTACTTACAGTACCTAGTCCCAATGATGATAGTAGGTACGTAGTACTAGTACTTCGATAATGGTAAGAATGCTCTAGTAGGTACCTTTAACAGTTTTATGATAAAAATCGTAATTGTTTTTTAAGACTAGTCACTGGTTGTAAAACTACTGGGATTTTTTTAAACTCTTGCCTAGGTTGACAGTATTGTTTAGTCATTATGCTTATAAGATAATGAACTAGCTCGCTTACTGTTGTGATGGTTAGTAGTTACAATATAGGCCACCGCCTGAGATCGTAGTCAGTCGCTTCGGCTTCGGTCGGTTCGATGATCATCAGTGTTTTACGCCCGTATTCACAAACATTACATTACTATGAGGTCTCACAGTGCGCGTGGATGCACAGGGTCACACAAGAACCAATCACAGAGCTCTATTCAACGCTGTTCGATTTGCTGCTTCACAAGCAAGCATCGTTTGTGAATACGGGCGTTATTTAGTTTAGCTGCCCGACTTAGGTAATTGCACAAGGTGTATAAGAACATATTTAATTAATATAATAATAAAGCCAACCAAGTCTTAGGTGGCCATGTTTTCTATATAACGTCTCCTGTAATCTATTATTGTTGTATTTTGTTGCATGTTTTGCCTGTGGAGGGATATATCAATGGCAGATTTTGTTATTGCTGGTTTCAAGAAAACTTTAAGGCCCAGAACACACGGTGAAACGCATGCTGCAACGAAACTGCAACTTCTAATTACTTTTGTTTGAGTTGCATCAAGTTTCTGCCATAGCGTCCGTTGAGAGACCACACATGACGCGACCAGTTTGAAACCGATTTGAACTGGTCGCGTCAACTTAGATGCAATTCAAAAGTAACTAGGAGTTGCAGTTTCGTTGCAGTTGCGTTTCACCGTGTGTTCTGGGCCTAAGACAAAGACAACGATTTAGTCGGTCTCTAGAATGTAGGTGGCTAATGTATTATCTATTTAGCTAATCACGGTATTAATTTATTGCACAAATTCGTACGTTTTCATTTTATCCAATATTTTATGTGAACAATATTTCGACCAATATGTACGGAAGCACACTAGATTCTTTTCTACAAAACTATAGGTTAATATAGTTTAATACAAAATTAGAATTTTAGCTGTGAAACTAACTACCTAGGTGAGTAGGTTAATTTTATAAGTTTAGGAGATCTAAATCATGTTCTACTATTAGCACTAAGTTTTTAAATGTACTTTTGGGGCGAATCGCGATAGACAATGAAGTTTTCAGATGATTTAGGTATCGATATAGCCCAATTCGCATTAGGTGATGCCTATCTTAAGTCCATCATATTTGAATAAAATCCGGTAGCTCTTCCAACGATCGTAACTAGCCTAAGTCCATAGAGACGTCAAAGCAAGTCGCTTATTTTTTCTACGTAGTTCCTTTATCCGTACCTTCGAAGGAACTACTGATTTTTCTGCTCCAAGTTTATTTAAATTTAGTGATTTAATACACAGTCATTCCTTCCAAGGTTGAAATGGAACTATGTAATCATCTTAGTATCAGACCAAACGAGTATCCATGAAATGTTTAGTCTACACCAGTGGTTCTTAACCTTTAAGTTTTGAGGGACCATTTTACCAAATTTCTGTCTGTCCGACTATGAAGTCAGTCAAAAGTAAACCAGTTTGACTGCAAAAATCAGTTAAAAATGGTTTTGACCAAGGTGTGCGAGTGCACTTCGTGGACCACTTGGAATGCCTCCAGGGACCACCAGTGGTCCGCGGACCACCGGTTAAGTACCACTGGTCTACACGAAGCAAAAGCGCGACAACCCGCAACGCGAATCCTCGTCGCCAAAATGGCAAGGCTCGCCGACCGAAGCGAGGGTAGGTAGTTGTTTAGTTTACAGCGAGAAGAACTTCAGGAACGCGGCGGGGGGCACGGGGTGCGGGGGCAGCGGCCCGCCCGCCTCGCGCAGCCGCTCGCGGTACTCCGGGCACTGATAAAAGGAAATATTGTAAGTATTATGTTAATAATAGGTCATATTTTGCAACAAAAGTAAGCATATTATGCTCTCTTTCTTTGTTGAGATACAGCACCTAATTCAACTAAATATATACAGGGTGGAATTTTTTAATGCCACCTGGAGGGAAAGTACTCTTAATATTGTAGATAGAAAATTTTTCTCAAAGAAAACATTCCTTTATTTTTGAAAAGAAATAGAATTGCAATCAAAGATTTCCAATAATTTGCTTGCCACACCCGGGAATCGAACCAACTAAAATCTGCTAAAAATTACACCCTGTATTTTTATTACATCGATCGTTAGGGTTAAGTATAAGGATGAAATCTATCTAACAAACTTGATAAATCAAATGAAAGGAAAACCATGAAATCTTCAATTATTTTAAATATGTACAGGAAATTGTATGGTATGGTAGAGAATTTTCGAAAAAATTCGTAAATCTTTGAATGCAGTTCTCTTTCTTTTCAAAAATAAAGGAATGTTTTCTTTCAGTAAAATTTTCTATCTACAGTATTAAGAGTACTTTCCCTCCAGGTGGCATTACAAAATTCCACCCTGTATAGTAAGTACCACAATCACAACAACATCAAAACCATATCGGTAGGTGACATACTTTTATGCTGTCAATATGCGATTCTCCCGCCTCAAGGTTCAGCCAAACCAACGCGATCAGCCGGTAGGCAGCGATGGCGATCAGAAACGCATTGATCGCCATCGCTGCACGCGATGGTTTGGCTGATCCTTTACTCTTGTATGGCAATTGGCAATGGGGACTATGACGTCATCATCAAAGCTGCAAGCAAAATTCTAATTTTTACAGTACAATTGAAATCTAACACGATTTTCAAGGCTGGAATGAAGTGTTGCGCTTGCTTATCTCTTTGAAGTTGACTTGAGATCACCCACACAATTTTAATCTATGATTCAGTAGTTAGCAGTTACCTATCATATCAATGCAATTGCCGATTAAAGATAACAGGGCGATCAATAGCTCATACACAAATAAATACTCATGTTTATCACGCACAAACTTCCTCTTCGTATGCTTTCAGCTAAAGGATCTAATTGAAACATTCGAACTTAGAATCACCATCAAATCTTATTTGAATCGCCACATAGACATATTGCAAACTCCTACGCAAATTCTATCACTTCAAATAAAAGCCTCCTGGGAACTAGGATACAAAATTCCACTTGTTACCAGTCTTCCTAACGGTTCAGACTTTAAGGTGCTTTAAGTTACCTATTTTTAATGTCAGTGTGACTTGATGGGATTTTTATCCCAACGAGTAACACTAGTTTTGGTGTGAACAAACGCAAAATTTTCACCATAGAATTTATAATAAAAATATTTACCTGATCAGCTATACACGGGTGCCCGAGCGACCGCCAGAAAAGGCACTTGCAATGCCGGCACAGGGACAGGGTCTCCGCGTACTGGGCGTCTTCTCTCAGTCCGTACAACCTGGGAAGCAATTATAATGTAATCATATTGTTTATTTTATGCCCTTATATCCAGCTACTAGCTTCTACGCCTTCTACATTCGTGGATATCGCTCTCTCACAGAAAGAACACATCTCTGAATCGAAAAGGCGGAAGAGGTAGGCAGTACATCACCACAAATTTCAACCACGTTTTGAGCAAGTAGACACATTTAATTTCCAGAATCATCATCATCAGGTTCAGGTCATTCAGTTTCCAGTAAGGACACGCTCCTGTAATAATTTACCAAATGATGAATTTGGCCTACACTGTCTCGCTAGAGCTAGACAGCAGGTAGCCAGACTGCTGGTTGCATAGACAGAGTTTTCTAGGATGGATAAAGGTAAAGGAAAAAATGCTACCAAATACAAATTAAGTGCCCATATGGAACAAACGTGGGTTAAGTCTGATGTAAAGTAGGCGCACACCGTTGATTTTTCGTCGGCCGATAGTTTAGTCGGGCAGTTGATCAGTATGGGCATGTATGGGAGTGCGCACACTACGCCGATTCAATTTGGCCGATTCTTCATACAATTTAAAATCGGGCACAACTATCGGCCAACTAAAAATCAACGGTGTGCGCCTACTCTTACTCTTCATTGTTCCTCTGTTGAACAATAAACAAACAACAAAAGCACTTACTTCCTAAGCTGATGGAAGGTCTTCTTCCAATCCACGTCCTTATCGTCCTTGTCCTTCCCGAGCACGCCGTCAATCTGCTGCCGCGTGAAGTGGAACGTGACCAGTTCGCGCCAGATCCGCTGCTCGGTGCACACCGACGCCATCACGTTCCACGCTGATGACGCGGACTGAAGAATAAATAAATAAATAATAAAATAAAATAAAAGGTATTTATTTCAGGCATAGCCCATAAAAGTGTTAGTAACAAAGGTCTTATAAACTATGGTTAGTAAATCACACAGTAACCTAAACACAATTAACGAACGACAATTTGGTGTCTTTAGTAAGATGGACGCGTGTCCAGTGCTGCATGATGTCACTGTCCACGTCCAACCTCGCCGCGACACTCTGCAGGAGGCTGTTGGAGCTGCCACGCACACGGTGGATCAGGGACGCCGTGCGCTTTCTTAAAATGGCATGAAGGCATGAAGAGAATCATACCGCAACTGTTACATTTAACCGCCTCTGTGGTCTAGTGGTAAGACCACCTGCTTCAGACGCAGAGGTCCCGGGTTCGATTCCCAGTGGGAGCAGATTTTTCCGTTCGGTTTGGTTGGTGGTAGGGCTTGTTCTAAGTCCGCCTGGCTAGCTACCACCATCTTACATAAGTCTGCCGCCATAACAACAATGTCAACAGCATTGTTGTGCTCCGGCAGTTAGAGGTATTAAGATAGCCAGTTCCTCCGTGGTTGAAGATTCCGGGTGAAACTCGCTTCCACCTTCGGCCTGATCGTCACTTACCATCAGGTGAGATACAGGCTAAGAGCTTCCGCGTTGTGGATAAAAAAAATACTTTCAACTTCAGATTCCTTATTCGAGCAATTTGATGGAAAGTTCGAGGCTTGGGATCTCATCTCGTTGATTGAGAGATAAATTCCGGATTTGACAAAAGACTAAAATCGGGACATCTAGGTTATGTAGGTAAATAAAATGTAGAGTTCTAGAAGAAAACGAACTTAAAGCTCCACAAAAGTAGAAACACACACCCTACTCATATGGTTTTAAACTTAGGTATAATAATACTAGGTACAACACAATAACTGAAACTTACGTCCAAATCCCTGTGATCCGATATCCTAAGTAGAATTTCTCTAATGCACTCCTCAGGCAAATCGTGAAGCTTAGGCATTACTTCTGGACCAGGCTGAAACAAAAACATTACGTTAGGTAAGTATAGCCAGCTAGCACAGTGCAGTGACTGAGAATAAATGGAAGTGGGTAAAATAGATAAACCTTTTTGAAGAGTTTCTGTACGGTGATTCCCATCACTGCAACTCTAGTGTAAACTTTGCCTCGCGCAGCGCGTATAGAGCCACCACCAGCGACGGAGAGAGTTACGTTCTACTGACTTACCTCCTGTATACGGATGCTGTTGGCGATGTGGTTGATGCGGGCGATGGCGGTGTCGTGGTGGCCCCACAGCGCGCGCGAGCCCAGCGGCCGGCCCCAGCAGGCCCAGCGCTCCGCCTCGCGTAGCGCGGAGAGAGCCACCACCAGCGACGGAGAGAGTTACGTTCTACTGACTTACCTCCTGTATACGGATGCTATTGGCGATGTGGTTGATGCGGGCGATGGCGGTGTCGTGGTGGCCCCACAGCGCGCGCGAGCCCAGCGGCCGGCCCCAGCAGGCCCGGCGCTCCGCCTCGCGAAGCGCAGAAAGAGCCACCACCAGCGGCGGAGAGAGTTACGTTCTACTGACTCACCTCCTGTATGCGGATGCTGTTGGCGATGTGGTTGATGCGGGCGATAGCGGTGTCGTGGTGGCCCCACAGCGCGCGCGAGCCCAGCGGCCGGCCCCAGCAGGCCCGGCGCTCTGCCTCGCGCAGCGCAGAAAGAGCCACCACCAGCGGCGGAGAGAGTTACGTTCTACTGACTTACCTCCTGTATACGGATGCTGTTGGCGATGTGGTTGATGCGGGCGATGGCGGTGTCGTGGTGGCCCCACAGCGCGCGCGAGCCCAGCGGCCGGCCCCAGCAGGCCCGGCGCTCAGCCTCGCGTAGCGCGGACAGAGCCACCACAAGCGCGCGGAGAGCGTTCAGGTTCTGCTTTGATGTGGCCACTGCGGAATATTATGATCTTGGTACTTGGTACTATCAATTAATCCTAGATATACTAACAAGAGGGCACGTAGAGCGAGTCAGTAACTGCACTAAGTGCGACCAGAGACCCGACTGGTTTTTTCGAGTATTGCCGTGAGTCACACATAAATCATTGATTTCGATCAAGTACTTAAGTACTGACTGATGACCTATAAATAGTCTTGTCAAGTAGGTAGGTATATCATCAAGATACAAATATATTCCATCTATGTATTGTTTTTCACAGAGATTGAATGCAGTCCAGGCAGTCTTTTGTTCAATCCGAAGTTTTAACCAAGCAGCAAAGCAACCAGTAGTTGGCAAAATGCCACGGGCCCCCGACCCGAGGGGGCTCCGGCCCAAGACCCTAATCGCACTAAGGCAATGGTCCCGGGGCCCCCTTAAAAGTAACCCGAGATACGCCAAACGCCCCATGCACAGAATTTGCCTCGGATGGTATCATCATCATCATCTCAACCATAGGACGTCCACTGCTGAACAAAGATCTCCCCCAATGCTTTCCATGTTACCCGGTTGGTAGCGGCCTGCGTCCAGCGCTTTCCTGCTACCTTTATGATGTCGTCGGTCCACCTTGTGCACCACGTCCCAGGCTGCGTTTTCCGGTACGCGGCCTCCATTCCAGAACCTTGCTGCCCCATCGGCCGTCAGTTCTGCGTACTAGGTGCCCTGCCCATTGCCACTTCAGCTTGCTAATCCGTCGGGCTATGTCAGCGACTTTAGTTCGTTTGACTTACTTGACTTATGGCGACCACGGGCTGGAAGACGTAGCGTGGGCAGGCCTCCTACTAGGTGGACCGACGATCTAGTAAAGGTCGCGGGAAGAGCCTGGATGCGGGCAGCGCAGGACCGTTCATTGTGGAAAACCTTGGGGGAGGCCTTTGTCCAGCAGTGGACGTCATTTGGCTGAAACGAACGAACTTGACTTATGGTCCTATGTCCCCTAGAAGGGGCAGAGGGCGTCCACAACAGTCCTCCATCGCATTCGGTCTTGAGCTATGTGTTTGATCTCGCTCCAAGTCTTGCCGATCTTCTTCGTCTCGTCTTCCACGTTAGTTCGTTTAAGGATGGTATAGTTACGCTGAAAGCAACCTTACCCTGATCAGCCAGCTGCTCCAGCATGCTCAGCAGCAGTTTTTGCGCAGCACCAGGCAGGTGCGTGAGCCGCTGTCCGCCCAGCAGCAGCTCAAGTAACGCGCAGATGTAGTTGAACCTTCGCACGTCGCGGACGGCTGACGAGAAGTCCAGGCGCCGGACCGCTTCTGATAGGCCGTTGAAACCTGCAATCTTTAAAAGAACATTGTTGGGTGAGGTAATATGTGGTTAAATGCAGAAGCTGATTTTCTTGTTCGGCTCTATGAGGTAAGTAAGTATTTGGTCGATGGAATAATATCGTAAAAGTACCGAAGTTTGCCTTACGCAGTTCGTATCTTCATGTAGCATCGTGTTTTCCCTAACCCAACAAGGGTTTCATTGGCGCTCAAGCTGTAGATCCTAGCCGTAAAGATCGTGCCACTACACGTCACACACGTAGAAACATGATACCTACATATTAGTATTGTATACTCATTTTATGATCAATTCCCCCCTCTCACTTAGATACTACGTCGAGAATCAAGATGCTGGTAGGACCAACAGCTCTTTGAATTCGGAGGATGGAGAATCTTGGAGTCTGTTTGGACCTATGGAGCCTGTGAGCTTTGATCTAGATTGAAATAAGTATCTTAGATGAAGATGGCTTACTTCTCGGGTACATTTGATTGTGATGTGGCAGTGTGGAGGGACTCTGGAACCGGATTCGTTTGTTTTCTCACTATCTTCGCCTTCTTGTGACCTGGAAAAAATAAAGGTTCCTATTACCACTTTAACTAAGTAAGTCAATGAAGAGGATCGTGATCATAAAACTAACCCTGGAATGTTATTATGCGCCTGTGTAGTGAGTCCTTGCGTCTTAATTATTTCCTCATAGAACACATCACTGATTAGATAATTAATTAGTTCATCTATTTAATTAAATGCCTATCCTATTGTATTATGTTGCATAGTCCGTTTTGTCATAGTTTTATTTCTCCCTACTTTCTCGTAGATATTAGTAAGATTTCTAGCCTCAGTGAGACGCAAGCAATAAGCCGTCTATTGTCCAACCCGTCATATCCAATACGTCCAGTGAAAGCCTTTCCGTTCGGCTTAGCATTGAACTCGGCTCAGCCCCCGGCCTCGTCTGCCCTTAAACAAGCTTTCACATAATTGCGGTTTCACTGCGATTATACGCAGGAATCGTATGGTACAATAATAAGTGTGTTGGGTTGGGGCTTTGTTCGAAAGGTATACTTAATTGTGAAAAGGTAATGTGTCATTGGCAATTAAGCCTTCACTACGGTCTCTTTCCACGACCAATCGATGAGCATTGATGCGTCGAACTACATATTTAATTATTAGTTCACTTAGACTCAGACGCGGATCCAGCTTTCAATAACCCTTCTTCTGGCGCAGTCGGGTAAAAAAAGGTTATGGTCACATCACAGAAAATCCCGAAAATTTGCCAAGTGCGATATGACTATTTTCGCTACTGTACTGGACTACAAAAGTATTTAAATTAATCTTCACATAACTGTTTATAAAAAAAACTATCTCTCTTACTGATTGACATGATAGAGTATGTGGACGCTGCGCATCACCGGAGTCTGTCTACTTATTTTTAACGTTAATTAACTTAATTAACGGCTTAAATGTGTAGTAGTCGTATGTTATGCAATATTACATCATTACAGTTCCATGTATCCCGCCCACACTCGTTAAGAATTCAAAAATAAAACGGGGAAATGTCCGAAATACTGTAGTGAAAATAGGTCGCTAGGCATTTGGTAAGCGTGACCCCATTCGGAGTCCAGGCTTGTCTGAACTGTTCTGTGGTACAGTAATATAGGATATCTGAGGTCCCTTCAAACTGGATGTTGTTATCAGGTATGTTCCCGTAGAATAGTCACGTTGGGATCGATTATATCGGTTTAGATTAGAATAGTCGATAGTCAAAGCATGCAGTGGAGTGATCACTCACCAACGTTTCGATCAGATTACCTTTGCCCGCCACTTTGTCTGAGTGGATTTCGCAACCAAAACATTGAGGATTTATTTCATGCTAACTTTCTTAAAAGGTTTCTACATCGCGTCATTTGGCAGGATAACATCCTGAGATTTAGAGATAATTAATTAATGTGAACATACCCAACGTAGCTTTCACATTAATAATTAATTACAAGAATAAGCGTGTATTATCTATGTTATCATTACATCATGAAACTTCTGTGGTTGAGGATTCCGGGTGAAGCTCGCTACCACCTTCGGCTTGATCATCACTTTTCCATCAGGTGAAATGCAGGGCAGTTTCCCTGAAGTAAGAAATAATGCTCCTAAGTTCAAAATTTGAGAACAGCTGAACTGGACTGAGAAAAATTGGAAAAGTTTTCAGTAAAAACCGAAATCCTCTCGAGCAGAAACTTCTACTAGTTGTAAAGAGGAGCTGTTTTGCAATTCATACGAGTATAATTTATTAGCAATTAATTTAGGATAGAATAGAACAATTGAAAACCTTCACGTTCTAAAGATTAGTTTAGGATTAATGGAAGGCCACAACAAAAATAATGCCTCTTTGAACCTAACTAAACCTACATTGTGCACGTCTTCTTCACCGATTCTATTGTTTGTTAGCAATGCTAGGTCATTTAGACACCGTTAGCAAGAGCTCTAAGCACTGGAAAGGTCACTGCACTCTAGTTTATGCATTGTTAATGACACAATGAGTGATATTGTTGATGATTCAGGCAGGTTTTTGTTTATCAGGATCGTATTTTGTTTTTTAAATTTTATTTATTTCAAACCAGTATCTTTTGGGGTCGATTTATGAAACCAATTTCAGACTCTATTCAAAATCAAGCGTAGAGTCAAGCTTGAGATTGGTAACATTTGAAACCAATCTTCAATAATATATTCGTGTTCGTAATCTTCATTTAGTAAGCGGTAACAAATTTTAAATTGTATCAAGTGATTTTGTTTTGTTTAATTAAACGAAACTGGAGATTTATGCACCTAATGCATAAATCAGTCCACATTAATTAATCTGTGTAGATTTTAATTGCTTTTGTTTGAAAGCTGATACTTATTAGTTTCAGCCACTTACTTACGTGTTTTGCAATTTCAAAACTAAAATTAATGTGTAGATCATGCATAAAAAATAAGCATTTTCCAAAACTTTCTTACGTTGCAACTAGAGTAAGGTACACTTAACCCAATAAATAACTGTCCCCGGAATTGCCGGGAACCTGACAGCAATATCTGTCAGATACGTGACGCCTTTCCTATTTCATAAAATCCATATTCTATTTACGTAACGCGTTACTCAACTTTATAACCTCGGATTCAATTTCGTGTATCGAGATCGGATCGTGTGCACGAATACCTTACTATCTGGGGGCACGGCAGTGCCCCCGCCAAGTCGAGCGCGAAGCAAACACTGCCGTACCATCCTTTACTGGAACCATTTCGCCGCATTTTCAGGCCCCTATTTGAGAACCTCTGGATAAGACCAGACGCAGAAAATTTCGTCATCTAGTAAGCTATAATCACATACTTTAAATCCAAAATTTCAAGTCTGTAGGTCATTTAGTTCCGAAGTTAAGCGAAAGCAAAGTTTCGCATTTACGACACTCACTCACTCACTCACTCACTGATGATCATCAAAATAGAACTAGTAGTTCCCATTAACTCAGAGGGCTGAAATTTGGTACAGAGTTAGGGTTTAATGGCCACATAAAGGGAAAACTATAAAAACTAGGAAAATCGAAGATCTGGGGTAACACCACATTCATAATCAATACTACTCCGGCACCGTGGTGTTCGCCTGTATCGCTCACCGCTAGATGGCGCTAGCACTAGCAAGCGGTGTCCACATTTTTTTCCTTTCTAGAACCCCTCGTCGATTAAGGTGAATGTTGTGCAATTTGCATTTCGTTGATTTCGTATAATTATTATATTGTAAGGTTCGCTAAGGTTATATTATTAAAACAATTCTGATTCGTTCTCCATTTTAAAGGTCGTTGAGTTTATTTGTGTTTAATATCGTAAAAAAATGTTGATAAAATGACGACGTTAAATAATTTTGCCACGTTCCACAAAAAGAAGTGAAATCCCACCAAAAACATTCTGTAAAAGACTAGCCAAGTCTCGATGGAGCTGCTTGTTTATCTCTAAAAAGTAATGAAATCTAGACAAAGACGTGCCAAGTCTATGGTTCCTTACTGCGATTTCTTTATTATTATAGTTAATGTTGTGTGACTTGGCCGTTGAACAATCTTTATTAAGATAATCATACATTATAAATACGCAGCTTTACTGAACCTACAATTGACTGGTTATTGTTGAATCAACGTTTTCCAAGCGCAATTTTCCATCGTCAGTGGGTAGCGGTTCAGGCGACTGATTGGTGCAATGGTGTCATGGAGCACCTGGTTTTGTCACCCTTCAACGGCCAAGTCACACAACATTAACTATAATAATAAAGAAATCGCAGTAAGGAACCATAGACTTGGCACGTCTTTGTCTAGATTTCATTACTTTTTAGAGATAAACAAGCAGCTCCATCGAGACTTGGCTAGTCTTTTACAGAATGTTTTTGGTGGGATTACTTTGACTCAACGCCAGTCATGGGAGTTATGGAGTATACAGTTGATGAGATTTGCCGATATTTAGGTTACATAATCATATTCATAATGCATTTTGTCCTGCTTCCTACAAATATTATTAATGTGAAAGTCTGTGAGGATGATGGATGTGTGTTGCTCTTTCATGCTAAAACTACTGAACGGATTTTGATGAGACTTTACAGTGTTACAGTGAGACTTTACATCAATCAGAATAAACTGTAATTAACAACATTTCTGCAACAATTTTCTTTAAAATCAACTCATCATTATTTCAGTTGCCAATAAAATACAGCGCTTTATTTGGGGAGAAATACTAATTAATTATTTCTCATTTTAGTTTATTTGCAATATTTTCTAAGTTTACTGTGCGGACTGTACCGACCAATAATAAAACTGCACAGAAACTACGCGATAAGTACGCCTGCCTAACTTTACCTAAGAGAGTTACTAGACTCTCTACTCTAGAGTAGAGTTTCCCTAACTAATAAAACTGAATCAATCATGTAACACTGTTACACTCTATATGTATATTTGTCACTGTAAAATGGACTCCTATTTCATAATAGGGAAATTAATTTTCTTAAGAAAGCATTATAATTAGCTTAGACTTACTACGTCACTCCGCTCAAAGTTTAGATCGAAACTCAAGAAGTGGTAGAAGTAGAGTTTGTAAACGTAACTGAACCTATCTGAAAATTAAAATCATACATTTTCTCTGACATTTTCCTCGTACGAACCTAATCCAATTACTTGAGTCGAAGACTTGCCAGACATTATGTAAGAGCGTATGTATGTAGATTAGTGATATAAGCGAAATTTCGATCATCTGTAACGCGAACGCGAAGTTAACGTGAAAAAAACAATTCGCTTTGGGCAATTGCAAGCCTATTCGCTTCGTTGGATGCAAATTGACAAAAATTTGGGGAATTTAACAGTAGAATGTTTTTACGAGGGAAACGGGACGTTAAGTAGAAAATTTGTGGTAAAAAACGGAAAAAAGTTCTTTGTTTGGAACTTGTGGGTTTTATAAACTCTCACAAAGGTCTTAGCGTCAAACTTTATAAACCGCTATTCACCAATTAGGTTAATTTAAGCATAAAATAAAGTGCTTGTTATAGGTTACTTCCCGATAGCA